TAAACTGTGGCATACAAGATTCAGACCATTATTTCATATAGTCCCATTCTGTCCGGTCTGATTGCTGTTGTTTGCTATTCAAGGTCTCAGAAAATGATCTTTTCTAGCCTGCTATCTATGACCTCCCTGCAGGAGTGCTAAGGGACCGAACTTGAGATCTACTGCATGCAAAACACCTACTCTTCCACTGAGACATGGGCCCAGCCCTAGTTCTGTTCGGATAGTTCTTTAATGGTCCCTCAATCCAGAAGGGTGTGACTTCTGTCCTGAGATCCATGTGCACAAAGGGCACTGTATCCCTTACCCCTAACAGACTCTAGATAAAACATAACATGGACACATGGACAGAATTGTATTATATGCTGTCAGTTTGCTATGGAAGGTATCCTCTTTTGGAAGATATTCCCCTTTTTTCCTGCAGTCCACCAGCTGTCCCCAAATCTACTCAAAAAGGTTTAGGAGATACACCAGAATACATATGGCATGTGAGGGAAAGGGGACATAAGGGGGAAGATAGATTGGGGAAGCCATATCATGCAGCCAGACACAACTTGAGGGTTCTGCCAATCCATAGTTCCCAGCATCGGTTCTGACGAATATCACAAAACAGTGGATAAATGTTATCAGGTTTTACGCAGTTCAGAAAATGCCTTAATGTATACTGTCAGATGGAACGGGTACCCTAAATTCAGGTCTCCCATCTTTCCAAAAGAGCAATCTCTATTTTAAAACCTGGCAGCTTTAACTAATGTTTGGGTAAATAGGCCTGCTCAGATATACATATGTGGGAATGTCACTGTAGACCTCTGATTCAGAGAAAAGTGCAACTGAGTTGTAATAGTTACAGGATTCAGATACATAAAATGACAGTTATAAAACAATTCCCAAATTTAAAATACCACAGGAATAATAAACTGTCACACAGTTTTGGAAAAATGCCTATTTACATTTCTAGTGCAAAACTGACATTTTCTTAAGGTAGCAAAATTTCATCACTTATTGAATCATCACAGAAAATGATGTAAATATTTTCAAAACTTGAAAACAAAAATATAGTCTTAATGATGAACAACTTCTGCTCTGAACTTCTTGACAAGCTAAAGTTAGCAAGAAACATGCAAATGAAAAACAGAGCATCGCAAACACAATGGGTGATCAGCAAGGTCCTTTAAAGTCCTTGTGTTTGTTACACAGTTTACCAGATGGCTGCACCTTTAATATCTTTCTGAGGTGCTGACTTGCATTGCATCATTCTGTCAGGGAACTGAAATGGCTGCTCATTTGATTTCTTTTTGAAGATTTTCCCATGGTATTTTCACTTTTCTAAGTGTCAAATTCAGGAAACTCTTGGGTTAGCCCTATCTTTAATATTATATTCTGCAAATAAAAAGAAACTACAAAAAGGACACCTACCTGCAAAGAGAAGCAAGTAGGAAGTGAAGGTTATTCCTCTTTAGGGAAAGGATCTTGCAGAAATGTTGTGCCTGAACACAATTTTTCTACCTCATTTAAAGCTCTACCTCATTTAAACAGGAGTTTGCTATGAAAAGCATGTCAGAAAAGGGGGAAGTAGTTCATAGTTATTGTTTTTCCTCCAGTAATGAGTGAGAATTTTCTAGACCTTTTATACAGGAACAAGCAGTCTCTGTTCCAAATGTACCACCCATGTTGATGATAAGTGCAGTGACTTCTTGGGTAAACCATTTAGAGTAGCCTGTGATATATTAACATATTCATATGTTCAGATAAGCTACAAATGTGCTTTTAAATACATTGCAGAGAAAGGGTGTTGTGAGACAAAGTATATACTGTCAGGGGACCTGGAAAGATACGTGGTGGCGGTGGTGTGTCAGCAAATGTGGAAAAAGCTGACAGGCAGACCCAAGAAGTCATTCAGCCCTAAACCTTGTTTTCTTTGCCACACTTGAAGGTTTTATTACCTTCCTGTCAGACACTGCAGGTTTGGAATGGAGGGTTTTGCCCTCCCTGCAAATTATCCATTTTCCTCTCTCACACATTAAGCGAGTGCTCTGACTTCTGTCAGCTTTCATAATTAAGGTGTGTTTAACTTCTTTACATCTGTGATGCATAAAGGGTGGCGGGGTGGATTTCAAGGAAAAAGAATGACCTCTGGAAACATTTGCCAAAACTGAAAGCTATACAAAATAGAGATTAAAGGATCAAGAAAAGGTTGAAAATGTCACTTAGGCAATGTGACAAAGTATTTATTTTTGCAGATATTAAACTTTAAGATAAGCAGTGCTGACTGTAGAAAATTTACATCACAACAAAGTGATCAAACACTCTTGTACAGTTTAGTTAATTTTCATGAAAGCCTAAAAGTCTGTGACAAGTTCTTCTCTGAGAACAGATGAGTTCCAGCAGTTGATTTAGAGTGCATCATTTAAAACAACACCTCCATCTAGTGGATTTATGACAACAAAAAAAGTCAGTAACATTATACATAGACTTCACTGCAAGTTTTCACGCCTAGGTCTCTTTGCTAGGGTTTTTCTAACAACTTTTCTAAAAGTAAAAAAAGCATGTCAGGGGAGGTGCTAGGTGCCAAAAAGACCTGGGCCTCAGGCCCAGGGGGGTGGCGAGGAAGCATGGATTTTCATGTGCTTATTTACATATGCACTAAAGTCTGTGTGGGTGTCTTTGAAAGATCACTTTTCCTAAGGACATCCCTATTGCAAAAAGGGGGCATAAGGACATAGGAGAGACTATTATGTGAGATGGGGCAGGGCATGCAGGGAGACAGAAGGTAAAGCTCATGTGGACAAAAAGCATGCTAATCCAGGGATACTTTCCCTTCAAATCATGTTGCTTTTCTTTTCCAGACCTAAGTTGTATCTCCACTTTATTAGTGGTGGCATAAGATCACAAATGAACTACAACTGTTTTACGGTCTGAACACATACTCTTATTGATGAAAAATGACTATTAATTAAGCTGCTCTTATTTTCACATTATTTTAAAAACATATAAACCAGCCTTCACCAAGAGGTTCATTAACATCATTAAATGAAAACATCCAATATAAAAACCATTCAATTTCACATTAAAAAACAAATTAAACCACAGCAATTCTTCAATCAGCAAGCCAAACAAAAACATAAACATCAATTTCAGTTTGAAAATAACTTAATATTTAAATTTAAAATTTTAAAATGAACATGGTAAAAGGCATGCACAAATAAAAATGTTATATTTCAGTGCCATAAAGAAAAAAAAGTTGATGAAAATCTCCTCTCCTCTAGAAATTGAGGTACCACACAGAGAAGTTTCTCTCCTTTGCAAATACATAATGTAGAACTCCCACCAATGAAATTCAGAAAAGGACCTCCTTTGAAGATCTTTGGTTCAGGTAAAGATAGAATGGGAGGAGGTGATTCTTCTGTATTTGGGCCCCATTTAGGGCTTTAATGTGGTAGATATAGTGAGCAGAACCCTTCCTTTCTTGTGCTAGGCTCCAAAACACCAGACAGTCCTTTACAATGCAGATTTTTTTGGCACTTCATAGCTAACAAGACAATCCAGTTCTAAAAGCCCCATTAGCAAGCCGAGCAATAGCCTCTGCTCCTGTAAAGAGTAAATGAGAGTTGAACCCAAACTGAAAACTTTCCCCCAGTCTTCCACTTTCACTCACACTGCAGGCTCCACCTTTATGGTGGCTCTTGCTGGTGGAGAGCCAGCCTGCAAGACCCACACAAGTCCTCAAACTGGGTAGTTTGTCTCTCTCCACACCTCATTTCAGGCACAGGGACCTGGAAAGGCAAGAGGTCTCCCTCCCCTCTTGGGACCCTTCCCACTTCTTCTAAACCATGTCTGCTCTCATGGTCAGCCTGAGAAACCGTGTGCAATGACCTTGATGGGGCTTCAAAGGCTTCTGCCTCTCTTTGATGTTCCTGGCATTCCATCATCCTCTTCTGCAGTATCCTCCCCTTCAGAATTCAATAAAACAGGCCCTTGGAAAGTCAGCAAACAGTGATTCCCTGGCCCTCCCAGTGCAATAACCAGCACCTTAAGCTGAACTCCCTAGCAGTTCCTTAAGAACTGGTTTAATATTATTCCATTGTGTTGAACCAGTTGGAAATCTAGTAAGAACACTTTTTGAAATGTAATGCTTCTGAAACATAATAATAATATATGAAAAGCCTTGCTGGATCAGACTACAGGTCCATCCATTCCATTGCTCTTTCACAGGATCCCTGAAGCAAGATAGATACAAGTGTTGTACCTGTCCAAGCTCCTCAGCAACTGGTGCAGGCAGGCATGATGCTTCTGATAATGAAGGCTGCACAGAACCACCAAGGTTAGTAGACATTAGTAGCTTCCTCCTCTATGAATTGGTTCAGTCTATTTTAAAGGTGCCCAAATTGGTAGCCATCAGTATTTCCTGTGGCAATGAATTCAATAGTTTAATTACTGTGTGAAGAAGTACTTCCTTTTATCTGTCTTGAATCTCCCACTAATCAGCTTCATGGGATGTCCTGGGTTCTAATATTATGGGAGAAGGAGAAAAATATCTTCCTCTCTGCTTTCTCTACATCATGCATACTTTTGAACATCTCTATCACATTCCCACCCCCCCACCCCCAGTCACCCTTTTGCTAAGCTAAGCCAGTTGTTGTCATTCTTCCCTAATAGGGGAGTTGCTCTTAGTTGCCCTTCTCTTAACTTTTTCAAAATCAGTAATCATCCTTTTCAAGTAAGGTGACCAGAACTGTACACTATATATATTGCATTTCCATTATACATTATATATACATCTCACATTACATTACACATTATCCATAGTCACTGAGAGCCAGTGTGGTGTGGTGGTTAAGAGCATGGGACTGGAACTCAGAGGATCTGGGTTCTAGTCCCCGCTCAGCCATGGAGCAAACTGGGTGACTTTGGGCCAGTCACAGACTCTCAGCCCAACCTACCTCACAGGGTTGTTGTTCTGGGGATAAGATGGAGGAGGAGAGATGATGTAAGTTGCCTTGAGCCCTTTGTAGGAAAAAGGCAGGATATAAATTGCAATAAATAAAAATACAGACTTCTTTAAGTGCCATAATTCCAACAATTCAAACTTCCATCATATGGATCTATTCCACAACCTTTTACTCTTTTGTTACATTGTTGGTTGGTTCTTAGTAAAGAACATCACACTCAAAAAAGAAAACAGTAAACATCTGGAGACATGAAGAAACAGTGAGAATTACTGCATTTGGCTGAAGCAGTCAAAAGCTCAGTTCAGATGAAAACACTAAACCATGCCTTGGTATCACAATAATGAAGTTTAGACTCATGTGCTCCTTCTTCCACTGGCTTGCTCCAATTCTCTCTGTCAGTTATTTTTTCCAGCAAATTAAGCTGAATTTTATTATTTATTCTAAAACTTATTTGCATGCAAACTATGCTTCAGACAAAGCAGCAAATGATGGCTTTGCTGATATATAGGAGGAAAGCCAGTGCTGTGTTAGGGCAAGGCTATTTCAAGTTACACCAAGTTCCATTTAATTCATGATCTGAACTATAGTCTCATTAACTAGAGCAGCATTCCCTATCCTGCTGCCTTCTGAACATTTGGAGCTATAGATTCCAGCATTCCTGGCCATTTCTTGTGCTGGCTGGAGCTGATGATAATTGGAAGGCACCACCTGGCATGGGCCTCTTCAGGGTTGGAGAACCGTTTATACTCCACTGCAGGCACCTGATGGACCCAGATGTTTTCCTGATTGCGCTTGGAGATTTTCCTACCTTGTGTGCTACTTTGTTGAAGCCCTGGCTGATTTGCAGAATACAGAAACAGCCTGGACTATTGATATCATTGCTCCTAAGAGTCCTCTTCCTCCTGATGGAGCCCCAAGGGAGAGCTCACAAGAAACTGAGCACAAGAAAGCAGGAGAGATGTTAGGTATAGCATCTTTGCAGAAGGCACCAGGACAAATCCAATCAAATATGGAAGGAAAAACATTTAAACATATATAAATACCCCCATCACATCTGCACAGAACAGACCAACAATGCTTCTCCATGCTGTGTGCAACCTATGTCACCAGGGTAATGGAAAGGTAGTTCCAGAATGGCCAGTAGCTCACTGTGAACATTTGGTTTTGTTCCTTGCAAGGTTCAGATCCACCTTGATGCAGGTTCCAATACTGGGTTTATCAGAGTGATACAACCTGAACTATTGCTTGCCCAGTTGCTGCTGCTATTACTAATTTTCAGCTTGCAGATTATGGGGATGTGAAATGTATTCAGACCTAGCTTTTGCCCTCCTTTTGCCATTAAATCAGCCAAGTTGGGTGATCAATGCCTCTTTGTTTCTTTACTTGGAATCCCAGAAACGTCCATTCCATAGAATGGATGGGACTTGGTGGCTCTATCTACTCTGGCTCTTCTTGTGTCCTTATTTGTGCACATAGATACAGACATTTAATTAATATTTGTAGAATTACTGACTGATTTAAAAATCACCCAAAATGCTGTCTCAAAGAAAAACTTCAGTGAAGTCAGCTGCTACATTAAGAGATTATACCAGTCTCAAAGAAAAGGGTACCCCACTCTGCTTCCACAGTCTCTCTCTGCTCCTGCTATCAACTGAAAGAAATGACATCACTTCTTAAAATACCTAATAAATTAGAAAGCAGAAACATTTCCAGAAACTTTTTCCACATTTTCAGTTCTTCAACATTTAATAATATGTTTGAATAGGCAGCTTTCATCCCTAGAAGGTGCTTTATCATATTCTAATATTCCCTATCTATTCCCTTAGCTAGGAGCTGATATAAAAGCAGTGAAAACCTCTTTTCTTTTGCTTGTCTTTTTTTGTCAAGTTCCCCACAGTGAGGGCTCTTGCCTCAAACATGTGGTCCTTGCACAGGAAACACCTGTGAGCTGGCTATTTATGGAACAGGTGGAAGTGACCCAGAGGCTATGGATGGTTTAAATGGGAATAACACTCTCAGCCCACAAGCCATTGGCTCATGTTAGAAAAGAGGCTGTTAATTAAAAAAATACATTACTTTGCCATGGTGGTTTGATAAGGCTTGCAACAGGCAACTATAATGTCAAACAGAGATTATTAGAATTTTAGTCAAGAATTCACAAATTTTTCAATGTTGGGAACAGCATTTCTCTCACCAGTTTAGAAGATCCATAATAAAACTGTAATGTTTTTACCTGATACAGCTATAGAGTGGAATAGAAATGAGATTAATAATAAAAATGAGAGTAATTTTATACAGCCACAATACTCTGTGACTGCAAATCAAGTGGTACAGCCTGCAGGTCCCTGGACAGAGTAGTGTTCCCAAATGCAGCACTGCAACTGCCCTCATTCGCAGCCAGCATGATGGAAGTTGTGATCAACACATTTGGAGAGCAACAGGCCAGGGAAGGTTGGGACAAGGCAATGAGATTTGCCTGCCTCCACAGGCATTCACTGCAATTATTTCATTAGAGGCTCTTCTCCAGCTACCCCTACTATCAAAGATACAGAAGGCTGCTACACATAAAAAGGGTCCTCTTGGTAGTACCACCCAGATTATGGAATGCTTTTCCCAGAGGGACAAAAAATGTCTGTTCCAGTCTCATTTTGCTTCTGATGAGAGAAGCAAAATTTATTTCTCCAGGATTTATATTTGCTTAATTTAATTAATTCTATTCTATCTCTATTCATAGTTTTACTTCCTAAACTCACTTCCTGCCCATGTTCTGATCCAGATTTATTCTTTCTTTAAAAAAAAAAAAAAGCTTGATCTTGATGTATTATGTATCTTCTTCTTCCTTTTGTTCCTTTATTTGGTTATTTCAAATAAAATAAAGTAAAATAATAACATAAAATAAGATAGTAAAAAACATGCACAATTGCTAGCAGTGTGAATGGTGTCATGTCTAGCTTGTCCCTATGATATTAGTAGTTTGCTTACACAAGATAGGTTCAAAAACTCTGATCACTTAACATACTAAGGCTGGGTATAGTCAGGTTCAAATCCCATAGAACCATCAACTTCACTAGTGTGTCAGCCAATATGTCTCAGTCAAACATTCACAGAATTGTCATGAGAATTAAATGGGACAGAATGCATACCACCATATACTTTGACTCAGTTCATACATAACAGTGGCAAATTAACTCCAACAATTAATGGAATGGGTGAGGGCTAATAACTGAAACTGAACCCATCCAAGAGTGAGATGCTGCTAGTGTATGGTTCTTCTAACAGGATGATGGGTGCTCAGCCTGTTCTGATTGGACCACACTCCTCTGAAGGAGCAGCTTTGTATGTTGAGGTTCCCCTGGAACAATCTTTGTCATTTGAGGGTCAGATGCTTTCTGCTAAATCCAGTTAGTGGCCCAGTTACACTCCTATCTGGACAAGGATAACCTGTCTTAGTATGCTATGCTCTAGTAACCTCCAAATTAGGTTGCTGAAGTCCACTTTATGCACCTGAAGACTGCTCAGAAGCTTCAGCTTGTGCAAAATGTGGTAGCAGCCAGATTGAAAAGAGTGACAAGTTGAAATATATATCACCCATCCTATCCTGCTTGCATGATAGTGTTGCAAGCCTGATTCAAGGTCTTGGTTTTGATCTCTAAAGTCTTACATGGCTCAGGACAGCAACACCTGATGGAGCACCTCTTCTGGCATATACCTACCTGTAGACAACATTAAACATATATGACCTTCCTCCAAGTGCTCGTCCAAGGAAAGCTTGGGAGCAGCAACAAGACAAAGGGCTTCTTTGTGGCAGACCAGTTAAGGGATGCTCTTCCCTGTGAGCCCAACCCGGCACTGATTTTTTTCAGCACTAGGCTAAAATCTTCATCTCTAAGGCATTTGACAGCCTATGATGAGGCATCAGGTGCCTGATTTTTCTTGTTCTTGATTGTTTAAAATTGTTTTAGATATAAGTGTGTCTCTGTGTGTCCTGTGTATAAATATATGGGTTTTTAATTGTATTTTTGTCTCTGCAAACTGCCCAGAGAGCTTTGGGTTTGAGGAAGAATAGAAACAGTAATTGAAATAATAAAACGTGTTTCCATGCTACAGCTTTTATGGGGGTTCATCAAAAGCAACAATCTGGTCTCTCCTTAAGGCGTACCAGACAGCAGGCTTCTCCAACTGGTACCCTCTGATTGTACTGGACTAGTGGATCCCAAACTGCTAAGACTGTTCTTCCATGGACTGGGAATGAACTACTGGGATTGTGGATGGATAGATTAAAAAAACACTTGCCATACATTATATATAGCATAATGCATCCTTTAATTTTTCTGCTTTGGTTATATTAATTTAGCTGAAGACCTAGTTTCAATATCACAACATACTATTTCACAATAAAGTATGTGGGGAAGAAAGGTAGGGCTTACAATTTCTACTCTTGCCAGTTTCTCACAGTTTATTTCAGTAGGATTTTTAAGCAGCTAAAGATCTGCTGGGTCAGACCTTTGCTTGCAAAGTGTTAAAAGCAGGCACAAACAGACTATAAAAAAGCATCTCAAGACTGCAAAATGCCTTGCTGCCCCCCACCTCCTTGCCTACCCCCTTTTATTCTGAGCATATATTCTTCTGTTTTCTTGAACTCTAATGATAATGAGTGAAGCTTCACAAATGGAAGACACAACCTTCATAATTAGTTGAGCCAAAGTGTTGAAGCGAATGAAATGAGGCTTGTTGGCTCTAACACCGGGGACACAGAAGCTTGTCTGTCTGGAGCATTCCCCACAGTTCTTCATCTGTGGTGCTCTTCCCACAAACACTGGTCACCTGCTGAGAGTTTGAATTGAATTGAGTTACATTATAATTGGATTTTCCTAAGGCAGTGAATTAGCATTTTCCATGATCTCACCCTTATTAGCCAAATCACTAATCAGGAGTAGCACGGTTACCCTGTCTGCTAGTTAAATTATCTACTGCTATCATAGCTGTTTAAGCCAACTTCCTACCCACGCACAGAAAGCAATCTTTCCCATCTCCCTTTAAAGGATACTCACATTATTCTCCCACGGCTAAAATTGCAGCATAAGTTTAACTTGCACACGTTTATTTTAAAAACAGATACACTCTGGAGGATTATCAACTTGAAGGCTTGTACAGGTTCCATTTTATTTTCTGATAAGGTCAGGGTGATTTGTCCCCCTGAAAACTAATGTAAAAATGAAACTGTTGAGCAAATCAGTTTAATTGAAAAGAACTCTCTAGCCTTGAATTGTATTCTATTGTGGCTCAAATACTTAATGCACTTATCTCTTAAGATCATTATTTTAATGCTACCATCTCTGGAACCCAAATGAGCTTGTATGTACATAGGAATCATTCCTAGTATATTCACTATAAATATGAATATGTGAATACATATTTTCCAAAGTTCTCAGATGGACCCTTATTTGATGGCTGGGGCATGTTGTAATGTATTGCTGTGTAAAGTTAGATTTCTAGTAAGCAGTTGCTGTGAAAAAAGCAAAGACTCATGTTAGGCATAATTAGGAAATGAACCAAAAATAAAACTGCTGAGATCATACTCCTCCCTTGTACAAATGTTTAGTGTGACCACACTTAGAATATTGCATGTAGTTCTGGTCCCTGCACCTTAAAAAGGACATTATTGAGTTGGGAAAAGTGCACAGAAGAGCAACAGAAATGATTAAGGAGTGTGGGGCAACTCCAATCCTATAGGAACAGTTCCAACAGCTGTTAAGCCTAGAAAACAGGTGAGAGGAGGCATGATAGAGGTATTCAAAATCATGCATAAAATGGAGATTCTCTTTCCCCCGGCATAATGCTAGAACCCAGGGTCATCCCATTAACTTGACTGGTGGGGGATTCAGAGGAAAGAAAGTACTTCTTTGCAGAGCACATAGTTTAACTATGGAATTCACTGCCACAGGAAGCAGTGATGGCCAGCAATTTTGATGGCTTTAAAAGAGATTGCACCAATTTTTAGAGCTTATTAGTGGCTACTAGTCTTGCTATGTATCAGAGGTATGCCTACCTAAATACCTCAGAAGACTGGGAACTGCTGCACCATACCCTGCTTGAGGGCCACTGGTTTATGATCATATGAAGGGAGTGCTGGATTGGATGGACCACTGGTCTGAAAAAAAATGGCTTTACTTATGTTCATATATGCTAGATTTCCTGGATTGGTGAGACCAGCCATTGACTCTATAATCAGTACAGTGCCCGAGACTAACAAGATAAGCTCTGGCTGAATCCCATAAAGATTGTCCCTTTAAAAGTAAAAATAGGTAATGCTGTAAGCAGATTAAAACCTCCAGTATGTTCTCAAGTAGCTGTCATCTTTAGTTCTGTTACATTTTAAGTTGCCATTACATTTAAAATGCATTATATTTATTATCAAATTGAATACCACAGGCAAATTGTAGTAAACACAATATTGTGTTTAATAGTATTTATAACCACTGGTAAGTCAAACAGTTTAGCTACAATCTTTATGCATGTTTAAGTGCCACTGAAATCAATGGGAATTAAACATGCCGAACCTAATGCTGGATTCTGATCCTTAGCACAAAATACTGAAACAATTCTAGCAATATTCTATTTACATGGATATGTGCACATCAGTGAGACAGAACTAAAACTATACTCTTTTTGTATTTGTAAGTACAGGTGTGAGATTTGACATCATTATAAACAAGAGCATGTTTAGGAGACAGGCTATCCTTTTACCAGAAATTAAGATCTAGCAAGTTATTATTGGATGCATCCTTGAGCCACTTACTTTGCAAGCAGCTTCACTGCCATGGAGGAGACCATTCTGATAGATAAATAGGCTTGAGAGCCACAAGGCATGTCGCCGTCTATACTTGAAGACAGTTCATGCCTTCTTCTGATCTATCAAATCCACCCAACTGACCCAACTGTTTCCATAGACAGTATAAGAAAAAGTAGCTACACTGGACATATAAAAATTCTAAAGTCCATTATTAGTGTAATACCCTTAACTAAATGATCACCAGAACGTTGCCAGTTTTTGAGATATCTCCTCATCAGACAGGATGTTATGAAAAGTGTGGCACCAAGCAGGTGAGGAAGGGAAAAACCAGATTTATATGGTGAAATTGTAGTCTGGGTTAAGGCAATAATTTATACTTAAGGTTGAGTGCAGGTTGCTGTGAACCAGGGGTTGCTGTTGAAATGTGAATTTTAGTGTTGCCTGAATTCAGCTGCACTAAAAAGGCATTACTAACTATGAACAACCCATAGTTTCTGAAGTAGTGTGAAAATAATCTGTGGCTTGTTTCTGGGTTTGAATGTGGGTTGTTATTTTGGCTGGCTGCAGACAACATGAAAACCCATCTTTCAGCAACAATCCATGGTTCAATAACAATCCATACTTAATCCTTGAGTGTGCATTATTGTGTTGTCTCAACCCAGTTATGGTGTCTATATAATCAGATGCAGGAGAGGTCTACAGACATTCAAATTAGGTTTACCAGGTCTTAGTATGGTTACAGGTTGGACCTGGACCTGCCCCTAGGAACACAGAAAAAGGAGATTTGATCCATTTAAAATATATATCTATAATTCAGTTATTATCCAAAAGTTCACCCATCCTCTGTGAAGCATTTGGGCTTCTTTATTAGTGGGACATAGCCAACTAAACTTTCATTTTGCAGCTTAAATGGAGCTGAATTTTATCAGCTGGTGGTATTTTTAAGCCCAGATAAAAATTGTGCTCTGATGTCCTGGCCAGGGTGCCATTATTCCCATCCCCTTACCTTTATGCTCCGAAAGGCAGTGGAGGCGGCACGTGAGGGGTTCTGTGGCCAGCACTCTCAAGTGCAAAGTTGGGGACTGGATGGTCACCCCACTGTGGATGCAACTACTGGCCCTGGACAGGAACAAATAGCACAAACAGTCTGCACTCTCAGAATGCTGGCTGCAGCGAATCACCTGTCCCAGTGTTCCTTTCCAAAACCCAAAGGGAAAAGTATGAATTCCCATCCTCCCTCGTATCACTCTGCAGCTGCCCCTGGAGGTGTCAGCTAACTTTCCCATCACACAGGGCATCGCCCACATTCCAAAACTGTACAAATACCTGATGTATACACAAACTGTTGCGACAGATTTGGTACAATCTACATCTCAAGGAAGAATAGTATTATCACACATGGAACAGACTGCATCTGGAAGGACATCTTATTTTTCTACCACAGTCACAGAGGTCTCCCAATACACTGTATGTTATATACATGCATATTATATAAAGTACAATGCAACCAAAGAAGATAATGTAACAGCTGTCACAAGATGAAATCTGATTACTCTCGAGTTTGCTCCTGTGCTTTCTCTTCATATGCTACTAGTTGGGAAGTTCTTTCTCTGAGCAGGCATCTATAAATGAATGTTAAAGAAAATTATATATTTACAATTTACAATTCTCCGTTTTCTCTGTTTCAAGTATTTAATAACCTAAAGATTTTACCAGAACTAAAAAAAAATCCTAAAAAACTAAAGACGACAACCGAAACTATGCTTTCTTATCCCTTTACCCCTTTTTTCTGGAGACTGAACAGTCCAGCTTGACAGTTGTTTGGACAGTCACTAACAGTGCCCTTAAAGTGTGTGCAACATGTGCCAATTTTGTCATTTTATTTTTTAAAAACTTTTTTTAGCCACAACTGCACAGGAGGACAGGTGTGATTATGGCAATCAAGACCCCGGGTTGGGCAACATTAGCGGGAGGAACCTGCTGTCAGACTGCAACAGGGTCTAACCCTGGCCATTGACCCATAGAGGGTCCAAGAAGGACCTTTTCAACTTTTCACGGCAAGATCCTCACCTTTTTTATTTCTTTCAAAATACTGATACATATTTTGCAGTTTTTCCTGAAACTTAGCTACCCCAGAAAGTCCTGAAGTTCATCCCACCCCTTTCTTCCGGGAAGAAGGATATTTGACAGCTGGCTGTTCTGGGTCCCTTTTAAAATGATGTTTTGAAAGGGCAGTTGCTTTTTTGTATGTTTATTTGTTAAACTGGGACCTATATTGTCAAAACTTCTTGAGCACTGTAAGGCTAAAAAGGAAAAGAATTAATCTCAGCACCCTTTTCTTGAGTAAAGATCACGTGCATCAGTGCTTTCATTTGAAAGCTCTCAGGAGAAATCAAATAGGGAAAGCCATTGTGGGCCCTGTTTAGATCAATCTCCCCTTCTAGACCATTTGCAGAAGTTAGCTCTCTCCCCAACACTGCCCAGTTTGCGGTCCTGATTTCTATACTCATAAACTGTTTAAAAACAACAAAACAAAACATTTTTGTGTACATTGTGTGAGCAATATTTTTTTTAAGTTTACCAACCATTGATGGTCCCTACAAGGTACCACTCAGGCACTTTAATGGACTATAAGTAGCTGTCAAAGTAATGATTGTGAAAGATGACTGTGAAGGTCGACTTCACAATTTCTGGGGATTTTTTTAAAGGGATAAAAGAACAAAAAGATTTGGTGAGTCAAAAATGGCTCGTAATTTTGGTGTAGAGGTGGACACAAGTCAGACCTGCTGCCATTTCCCTGGGATACCCTAGAAGAGGTTAAGAGTAGGCCAAGAGCCCAGTTGCCTTCAGGTGCACTGCAGGTTGCTCATAGAGCAGCTTATTATGATATGCAAACACCCTCGCATTCATGCATACATATGGATTGGATTGATCTCTGCATGGAATAACCTGTTATAAGAACTTCTTCATATTGATCATTTAAGTCTCCCACAGGGCCATCATGTACAAGTCTAATTACAGCAAGTAGTACTCCCAGATAAGGGGTATACATTCCACCAGTGCTGCCAGAAATACTTGTAAAAAATTTCTGAAGATGTTTTCATAGTATTTCTGTAAAATACTGCTATAAACTTGCCTACTGAGTGTAGAATCACCATCTAAATAACATAGAAGAAAAGCATTAAAACAAGCAACATGATATATTTCCAGAAGTTCTAGTTTAACCCAAGAGAACAATTTAAATCTTCAAAATGTTGCAAATAGATAAGCTTGTCATTCAACATTTGGATTTTAAGTCATGATGACATATATTGCACTTAGCACAAGTAACTGAGTCCAGCAATCCCAGGAGCGTACAGCTGATGTTCTTGATGTTATCTTGTTGCACAGAGAAGCCGAACCTCAGGCCCAGCTATGAAATCTGGCCTTCCAAGTTTCTCAAGATGGCCATACTCCATGTCCTGACCCCACTCCCTTTCTACTACACTTCATTAAGCTTTCAGTGCGGGTAGGTTGGACTGAGAGTCTGTGGGTGGCCCAAAGTTACTCAGCTGGCTCCATCCCTAAGTAGGGACTAGAACCTGGATCTCCTGAGTCCCAGACCCACACTCTTAGCCATTACACCACACCGGCTCTATGTGCCCAATCCCTGGTAGTTTCTCTGCTACTAGCCTCGTGCAAGTTAATGTTTCTTGGGTTATAAACATAGCAGTGGTGCCAGCACCAGGTTTCTGAGGGCCGCTGGGCAAGACACTATCAATGGGACCCTTCCCTCAGTTAATCGAGCTTCTCACTGTGATCGTCAGCAGATCTTCATCCTCTTTTTCATCATCACTTCAATTTACTTGCTTGACAAGCAGAAAGCCAGAGAGCAAGTAGGCAGTGGCACCCATTGCTCTTCCTTGCCACCACCACCATCAGTGCAAGAGGCAGAGGCAAGAGGCAGATTGCAATGATGAAGAGGAGGAACCACTCTAGGGGGCTCTATTAGTGGGTCCCTGCCAGGATGTAGCCCCTCAGCAGATGCCTCACCACACCCACCCTTGATGCAAGCAACATGGCTTATGATAACAGAAGGACTGAGAGAAAACAGCCATAGGGCACAGGAATTCATTTATGAAGACTGAGCCCTTACATTTTGAGAGGAGACGCTTCATGAGAGCAAATGAACCAGTTTATTTGGAAAAACTACCTCAACTCTTCAACCTCTCTTACAAGCTAAACAGGCTTCCTGTACTAGTATTGTCTCTCTCTCCCTTTTTTCAGTGTTTGATACATGATGCAATTGGGACCATAGTATAACCTTAGCTAAAAACTCAGAAATCTCTTGCATAATCCTGTCTGGACTGTGACCATTTATTTTATCGCTTGTCATTGTTTACATAAGCCAATGGTGTGGAAACATTGCCATAAATGAGTAATATACTATACTCATGTTGCACAGGCAAAAAGACTCTGTGCAGTGCAAGACATTGATGGCAGTTTGCCAGACCTCTAGTGATAGAGACAGAAAAGAAGGAAGCTCACAGAAATTGTAATTGCTATAAAAGTAATGTGTTTTCCAGATTTCCAATAAGATATCAACAATTATTAAACAACATTTTGAACAAGAAAAGCTTGGATACTTTCAGATTTGTAGAAGCCCAGTCAGAGCCATTGATAGATACTTAATTTCACACTTAACCATGCCTGAAAGCTACAGCCTTCAACCAGGAACCCTAGCTCTTTGACCAGGATGGGCACCAATCTGAATATATGTGGAAATAGTTTTCATTGAACTCAATCAGATATACTTTGAAAATACATGAGTAACCTGATCCAATGTGACTGCTCATAACCCTCTGAACTCCAAGGATTATGGGGTAGAAGCAAAGGTCATCTTATGGCCATCTAAGTCCTCCTGTTTCTTAGGATGACAGACTGAGACACCAGCAGAGTGCATTTCAACATTGGAGCTGTAGCCATTCTTTCTCTCCTAGTTGCAAAGGTTGCGGGACAGTGTTCCAAATCTGGAGCCTCAGTTCTGACCTTGGAGCACATTTCCAAGATCACAGCTGGGACTCTAAATTTTCCTCTGAATGGGCAGATAGCATCTACTGGCATAGGATTGTGCCCTTAGGAGATTAAGAAAAGGCTGCAAGAAGTTAGCTTTCATATAGCCTGAAATGCCTGATTCTGCCTAATCTTGGAAGCTAAGCAGAGTTGGCCTAGGTTGAAATCTGGGTGAGGTGACTTGAGTCCTGCACTGAGCAGGTGGTTGGATCTGAGGGCCTGCTAGCCCTGCCAACTGTATGATTCTGTAATTATGATCCTATGATCCTCCAGTCCTAGATACATTTGCAACTTGAAAAGTAAGAGAAAACTGACAAGAACTGACAAGTAAAACAAACATGAGCTTTACTTAAACAGCATTTGCAGCCATTGCATTTTTAAGGGTTACACAAATCAAACTCTCCCAACTTCAACTCTTTCAAGGTTGTGGCATCTATATTAGTGACCAAATAACATGGAACTAATTTTGCATCTCTCCTCTAGATAATGGATGAGAAAGCAAAGGTTTTCCACAAGTTAAATGAATGCCTCATGAAGCCAATGGAGGGAAAACTACAGCTGATTAACATCTGGAAATTTAAAGTATAGTACAAGAATACTAGCATTACCAATGCCATATGCAATTGCAATGCAAACCAGAAATAGACATGTTACTATAAATTGCTTTGATATCTTCCCAACACAGACACATCCTGAATTTCATACCAGATCAATGCTATAGTTTAACCTCTTTACAATCATCTTGACCATTAACTGCAAAGCAGGAAATTAATAAATCTCAAAACATTCAGACGTGAAGGTTGGATTGCTTGAAACATAAATTCATGCTACTATTTCAATCAGATGTGCTATTTCATCCTTGTGCTTCTTTCTAACTGACATTCTTCAAAGAAACCATAGATCAGTGATGGTGAAACTTTTAGAGACCAAGTGCCCAAACTGCAACCAAAACCCACTTATTTATCGCAAAGTTCCAATACTGCAGTAAAACCTGAAAACTGAGGTTTTAGTTTAGAAAATACAACTCACAGTCGGTCCAAGCAAATATATATATATCCTTGTCAGAGCACTGACCGGACATGTGAAAGCTCGGACCAGTCGCGGCTAATTGGTCATGGTTCGTGACATCATTGCCTGGTGCCACTACTCCTTTCTGAGCATGCACATGGCTCCTATGTGCGCTGTTATCCGATACGCAGCTGCTGAGGCAATGCTGGGGCGACTTAGCTTGCGTGCTGACATAGAGGGCTCTGTGTGCCCGCTGTGGCACGCATGCCATAGGTTCGCCACCACTGCCATAGATTCACTGCCACTGAAAAGACTGAATGCAAAATCAGATGCAAAAAAGCACAGTATTCAAGAGAGCAGTTTTAGACACAATTGTATGTGTGTCTGAAATTTTGCACTGAGAAAAATATTTAACTATATAAGTCTTATTTGTTTTGTTGATCTCATTCACTGACAGAAGCTTTAGATTTTCTTGGAATCAAGAGCCCAGTTCCCTTGATTTGTGATTCTGGAATTGTACCCCAGGTGAGACAAGATGTGGGATCATAGCTTTTGTAGTTTT